AGTATTTCTATACCAGTAGTGATACCATCTATCAGTCTCATAGCCTATTTTTAATATTTTTTGGGGGAAATTGCATACATGCCACCCATTTCTTAAGTGTATGCATATCTAACACATAACTTTACTTTTTACATTAAGAACACCCAAATGCTTCATATCACATCAAAAATACCACCATTTTAACTGTTAAAAAGTGAAAGCCTTTCATGCATATATAAAGATGGGCAGGTATGTAAGAATTGAAGTTTAGGCATGTTAAGATATGTAAATACATAGGGATTGAGTGGTACGTACGGAAATCTTCCATTCTAACAACTTTCAGAGCGCATTACAAATGCATCATGATTTGCATGAAATTCGGGATAGCTTCAAAGGAATTGTTTTTTGCTATTTTCTTATATATTCTTACCTACAAAAAGTTAATCTTGGATGCCTTATTGTTTCAAACATTGTACAATCATCATCACCGTTAACTGTCATTGCCCACCCCACCAATCATTGCATTTTGCAATTTTAGAAAAAAGAAACTCTTGATAAGAAATCAAACATGTTTTTAATTTATAATAAAATAAAATAATAATAACAACAAAAAATGATCCCAACTACTAATGCATGTGTCCTTGTACTTTAAGATAATGCATGTGCCAATCAATCATAATCACCAAATAGTAGCAGCACAGCAGTCTAATAAAAAAGGGGCATTTACATGCATACCAAATGCTAACACCTAATCTTTATTTTTTAGATTTATACCACCTAACTCTTACACATCAAAAGTACCATTATTTAACTATTAAAATGTGAAATAAACCTTTTCATGCATCATGGGTGACATATATGCAAAACTTGAAGTTTAGAAGTTAAATATGAAAATACACAATAATTGAGTGGTATGCATGTAAATCTTCCAAAAAAAATGATTGTCCTAAAGGAAATCCTAAAACAAAACTACAGAGAACATAAAAACACAGCTTTCCCTGTAATAGTTTCACAGCCGACTTCATTTAGAGCATTTAAGAAGCATTATTCATCATAATATATGTGAAGAAAAAGCAGGTAAACAACACTTGAACAAATATTTTTTTTGCAGAGAATTAAGAATATCATGTATTGCATATAACAAACTCCCCAACATTATCTTCAACATTCCACAAGGATGCAACAACATACTTCCAGACTAGGCTGTCTTAGTAAGACTATCCATTTTGAGAAATCTATTACAGGGCAATAATAAAGCAGCTGAGGTATGGAATAAAAGAAAAGTTACAACGAACTTTTGTTAAAGTGCCTGAACTTGTATCATCGCGATTGTTTGCATGACAAGTTTAACGGTTTAACAACCATTAAAAAGTGGCCTAAAATATTTATTAAATACAGTAATATACATATGATTAGTTGGTTGGCTGCATTAGGAGTGTATTGTAATTACTTAGCATCACTTCAAATTTATTGTGGTTAGTTTGAAGCAAAAGAAATTTAAAATAAACAATTGAGAGATTTGAAATACGGCAAATTACCCATTTTTCTTACATAAGAAAATTGGCCGAATTGACAAATTTCTAAATTGTACATTTGCCGCAATATCGCTCTCTTCACCTGCATCACGTCACCACATCATCAACATCCAGTCATGTTCCCTGCCTCGTCAACCAAGATTAGGCTGCACCACTTTGTCGCCTTCCGCATCTACAACCTCTCTGTAGTCCTTGAATGGTTAATAATGAAAGAGAAGAAAGAGAGTCTTTGCAATGCATTCTAAAATGGAAAATGTTTATAGCATTTAATTTTCATATAACCGAATAACTCCTGCATGTTAAAATATATGGATTCCTCGCATTTCTAAGATGCATTCATTTTAAGAAACATTCAGCCAAATAACCCCTTACTGAAATTTTTATTCTTACAAGGGTTATTGAAGCTCCTAAAATCACACTATTTAGATTTTGTATTATTTAATATCCTAGTATTAAAAGAGAGATGATACCACATTCCATCATTGAGCATTCTTTTCGAATTGCATTGGAATCTAAGCAAATATTGAGTTTCTTGTGTCTAAGATTATTAGTACTCTTAAGTATTGCATTATTTTCATTGAAACAATTAAATTCAATATGCTATGCATGCTACATTTAAGGGAAATAGCATTAAAGTTAATAAGAACACCAAGGGGAAATTATATGCATTTGCATGAAGATCTAGACTTCAATCAAAACTTGCTTTTTAAGTGTCATCAAATTGATCATTATAATGATGAGTGTCCGCATAGGAATTTGCATATTAATGTGACGGATGATCAAAATGAAATCAATTATTCTAATGATGTGCAAGTGTTTGATGAGTAAATCAATTATCCTGAAAAAACTTTGGTGGATAATCCATTGAATTTCATGTGTTGCACAATAACTACGCCTAAAATTAAGCTAAATTGCAAGAGAATTGCAATCTTTTAAACAAATTTTAAACAAGAGAAGAAACCTTACATACATAATATTGTGGTGCAAGTTGTATGAATATCATGTATAAGAATGCTCTAAATTGCAAGATATTAAAACTTAAACTACATCTACAATCATATAATTTGGTGTAATAAAAGAGGCTATCTACTTAGATAAAATGCCTAAAGATGTTACTTTTGTGTTCCCAAGGTGTTTAGTTTCCATTTAGTTGGCTATCGACATCGATAGAATTTAATGTGATGTGTCACCTACCATTGCTACTCGTGTTATTCCTAGTAGACATTTGTTATATGATCAATATAGTACTCATTTTGGAAAGTTTAACACATGCATTCAATAATTATGCAAAATTTTTGTTCTTAAACCTACACAACTTGAGAGTATTGAGTTTGCAATAGTACCTAGTACTCCGAACAAAATTAAAAAAAAAAATTTGTTTATTTTGAATAAATTTACTTTTGTGAAATAGAGCATGCAAGGGGGTGTAATCTTTAACATAGCAACAATTGAGTAGATGTTGTCATGCTTTAAACTGTCTTTTCCTAATGACGTTAAACAATTTTTGAATGATTTTCAAGATATTAGTTTTGCTAAATTTTATAATGAATCGCAAGAATATACAACATGCTGTTAATTTAGTTCCTGAGGCATCATTGATTAATGTACACAATATAAGATAAATCCAACTTAATATGTTCAACCTTAAAGACGAGTTAATGATTTGCTCAGGGAAATTATTATAAAGAGAGTGAGTCATCGTATTATCCTAACTTTGCTTACAAGTAAAAATAGAATGGAGTTGGAGTGTGTGGATAGTGAAGTCATCAATAAAATCACAAATAAATATAACTTCACATACTTTGTTCAGATGATAAGCTAGACATCATAAATGATAGTGCGATCTTTTATACGATTAGGTTAATTGGCTATCATCAAATTAGAATGAGAAAGGTGATAAGTGAAATTATGATTTATGATAAAATATGAATTGTATCAATGATTAGTAATGCCTTATATATATTAATCAAAGTATATAGTAATTTCATAAGGATAATGAATTGTCTTATTATGATGTTTCATTAAAAAATTTCTAATTGATCGTTTTCATGATATTTTAATTTATAGCAAAACATGACATGATCATTAATTGCATCTAAAGAGGCCTTGAAAGCTAAGAGATTATATTTGAATGTTAGGAAATATTACTTTGAAACGTCATATGTTGTGACGCCATTTGTGATACTTATAGGGTTTGTTGTATATGGTGAAACATTGTTTGTTGATTTTGATAAGGATAAAGCAATTAATGATTCACCAAGGCCTACCAATAGATATGATAATTATAGGAGTTTTTGTCCTTTGGATACATTTTATAAATGATTCATTAAATGATTACTTTGTCCCTTAATTAATGGATTGTTGGTATGCTTAACAAAAAATTATACATTTAAGCATGATTTATCAATCTAGACGTTAATTTTGGATTCTTAATTCATCTTTAAGGGACTACTACGAATTAGGGGTTCTTTGGTCAACAAAAAAAATAATGCAATATAAAATAAATGCAATGCAGAAATAATGTATTGTATTTAAAATATTTTAGAGTTGTTGGCTCATTATAAAATAAATGGACTACTTTATTTTATTTTATTTTTTTTTAAGTAAAATGAAAACAATATATCTCAATGTAAAATTTAATGTGTTGGCCACAGCAGGCAATGGGGGTAGCTGCGACGACACATTACATTGAGTGTGAGTTTGAAAATTAGCCAAATCGGACGAATTTTAAATAAAAAGAAAATGAACTAACGGCTGAATTTTAAATATATTGTTATTTTATATTAAATTTCAAATTCTACCAAATCAACTAAATTAAATTCCATGCATTATTAATGCAATGCACAGGTAATGTTGCCAACTAAAAAGCCCCAAATAAAATCCTAATAAAGATTCACTATTCACCTCCCAAGTGATATCATATTAGACCAACATAAGCATGTCATAGTTTTCAATATTTTGGATAAATAATTAGGTCATCACCAAATCTAGGCACATGAATAAGGCAACAAATAGATTGATTTGAGCTGAAGATTGTTCGACATCGAACTGATTTATCAAAAGTTTGTTCAAGCTCAGCTCACACTCGATATAAGCTTTTGTGATATTGTTTAAACTCGAGCTCACATACTAAGAACTTGTTTGAACTTGGTATGAGCTTAGCTCAACTTTTTCATATTATCATTTAACAAATTCCAAATGAGCGGCTTGTCTGAAAAAATAAATGATAATTATCGACCCAAGTTATTAAACTTAACAAATGAGACTCAATTGAACTAAGCTTATTCACTTGTCATTTCCTCGATGAATGTCTTCTCGAGCTTTGAGCCTTAATTGAGCTTTATATCAAACATTAATTGAGCTTTTTGACGAGCTTATTTGCAAAATTTAAATGATACTATTTATGATCCTAAGAAAATAGAGTACCAAGTTATTCAAAGTTGTTCATTAAACTATCAAGTATTTATAAAAGTGATCGTGCTTATTCCATTAGTTAATAAAATAATCATGAATAAGCTTGAATCGAGCTGAGCACAAGGAGTTTGTTCAATGCTTGGTTCAGCCCTATACATGAAGAACATGTTGAAGACATTGTTCAAGATCAAATAGACTTCTTTGGTGGATGGCGATGCCATCTGATCTCCACAAAGACCAACAATATTCATGTTTAATAACCATTTTGAGACCATTTAGAAGAATTTTGTAATTGTATATCTTGAAAACATTCTCATCTACAGTTGAACATTGATGAAACATCTGAGATATATGTAAAAAACATTCAGCCTCCTAAAGAAGAATTAGCTCATCCAAATTTTGAGGAAGTGCGTGTTTGGAAAGAAGTCTCTGTTTTATTTTGGATTTGATTTATTTTGGCTTTGAAGTTGACAACAAGGATATCAAGATCATCCCAGAACAAATACAGGCACTTAGTGAATGATCGCAACAATGGAACAAGACTGATCTGTGAAGCTTCATGGGACTATGCATGGATGTAACAAAATTCTTCAGCAACTTCAATGTACCCAATTTACCTTTGCATTTGCTGAAGGCAATTAAAAATTCTCCTAGGAGAGAAAACATGAGAGTTTGTTTCGTCAATCTCAAAAGGCTGTTAAACAAGGCATTAGTTCTGGCCTTGAAGCACCTTCAGAAATTATTTAACATAAAGGTTGATGCATCTGGACGTGCACTCGCAACAATATATGCAAGAAAGAAGAACTACGGCATACTGCTTCGAGATGTTTCAAGGTACTCAATATATATATATATATATACATTTTGATGCTATATATATATAGTATGATAAAGAGCTTCTCACACTTAGTAAAACAATGGCAAGCTTATCTTCTTGGAGAAATAGCATTTCATATAAATCACAAGCCACTTCAATATCTCTGAATGCGGTTGAGCTTTAAAAGCTTGAGAAATGAAATACTTAGCGTATCTACAATAATTCAACTTGATCACTGTATAAAAAGGAGAGTAAAACATGATGGCTCATATAATTTATCGACAACCAATGATATCAAAAATAATATGGCTACAAACTTCTCAGCATAAGGAGCATGCTAACCTATACAGAAGCTTGATGAGGACATCCAAGACATCCTAAAAGACCCCTGAGAAAATTTATATATTAATAGGGAGGGCTTCTAACCAAAGGGAATTAACTTTCCTTTTTCAACTTTACCTTTACGACCCAAATATTATGCATAACATTTCTTTCATCAGTTTTACTCATACAAACTGCATGGGCGATAAAGTGATGTTTATACACTCACAAACAAAGGGTGGCAAAGACATCATGAAGTTTCAAAAACCAATAATTAATTTTTTTTATGGGATCGAAAAAGACGGATGCAATCTAGATGTGTTGAAATGTGTATTGATATGAGGTTGCTAATTTAAATATTGATAGGGGACATGTAGAAAAAAACTCCCCGATAAATTCAAAAATTTTGAAAAGACTTTTATAAGTTTGAATGTGTTGCATTTTATCCCTTCACTAAAACCAACAATTCGGCCATTAGATACCTACTTATAAAACAATGTAATAAGGGGAGGCAAACAATTATCATGCAAATTAAAATATTTAGCAAGCAACCTAGTATTTATTAATAAGAGATCAAAATTACACAACATATGTTCTCAAAAATCTAATAAAATCATCAAATATATTTACCTAATGAAATATAACAAATCTGTGTAATATCAGTTAGCCCATGAATATAACAAATATGTTTGTAAAATCATATGATATATAGCTAACTTGTCACATTAAGTGCATATGCCTAAATGCTATAAAATGTGCAAATTAAAATATATTATGATATAGTTAATAAAACAACTTATAATGTAATAAAAATCACATTGAAAATCAATTATTATAAACACTATTTATAATAATTACTATTATATTACTCATTTTAAAGCAATTATTACAACTATTATTTAGAAGATGAAATCATTTTTAAAATACGCTTTATGATTAAAGCACCATAAAAATACTATTTTTTACAGCTAATACGTCTAAAAATATATAAAATATTAATTTTATTACAATTAATTACTTGTCTTCATATTGTATAGGTAAATCTATCAATGTTTTTTTTTTGTTTTATATAATATATTTCTTCTATTAATTTTTCAAATAATCATTTTATTTCCAAATCTTTTTCTGACAAATTTCTTCCCATGCATTCGCATATGGTATTTGCTAAAGATGACATCTAGGAAAGACAAAAATTCATGAATTGGATTGAAATACATTCAGTGGTACGAAAATTTACTTTTACAAAGCATTCCAGCTGTGCTTTTGGTTTCTCTAAAACATAGCAACACCTAATTCCAGTCATAAACGATCAGTAGCTTCATGCCCAACAACTTCTAAAAAATCTTCAAGGGAGAGGAAATTTGCCTACTTTCCAAATAAACCATCAAGATGGTTTAAAGGCCATAAGATAAATTTTGGATCTAGAAATATATCAGGTGAACAATTGTTGCAGCATCACAAAAAACTGACACATATCTAGTTTTGATTATCCAAAAGAAAATGAAAAAAAAAATACTCTCAAGTAAAATCCGAAGCTCCCATGACACAATTCAAGCAGATGAATACCGGTTAGTAATTAAACATTAATAAGGCTAAGGCAAATAATTGCTACATTTTTCCTCCAGGTCAATTTAAAACTCACCTATCAATTTCCTCACACGAGATTGTCATTTTGATTGATACAGAAATAATAATAGTAAGTTTGCGTGCGAAAATAACTAAAACAGGAATGATGATTAAGCACAAAATCCAATAAAATAAACTTCATAAAAGCACGGCAATCATATAAATAGAGAATACAAACAGTATAAACCTTGCAGGCTTTATCACTTCTCAGAAAAGAATGAATTGGGAGAACAATCACGATGTAGCTTAATAAACTTGGTCAAAATCAGGTAAAAGCAAGTCTTGCAAAAGTTAAATAACCAGTGTGTCCTCTTGCTTCATTGCATGGTTTAACCATTACGCTTGCTCTTTCATCATCCTCACATTCTCCTTCACTGGACAAATGCTGACGTTTCTTATGTGGTTTCAACACAGCAGGTCCTCCATTTCTTCCAACTTCCATCCTACCCTCTCTGATTTCATATGTCCGGAGAAGAACTTCAAAGGTTCTTAAATCTACATGATAGAAGCATCCCACTTGGATCAGCCAAAATTACTTGCCAAGGAAAAAAATCATAACCAGAATCTACATGACAGGAGAAGTGGAAATAGGTCATGGGAAACAAAGAGCTTGACAAAGGAAAAAAAGGAAAATTTACATCCATAGCACACAATTCATATGAATTTACATATCTCACACCTAAACTTTGATATTTACATAACATTTTGATGCTTTAAACCTATGCATGAAAAGGTGTATTTTGTTTTAAAAAAAAGGGTAATAGTACTATTTTTATGTGATATTAAAGATTTGAGGGTTATGTGTGTACATTTGAAAGTTTAACTGTCCAGTATGTAAATACATTAAGAATTGTGTGCTATGAATGTAAATGACCAAAGAAAAAATATCTAGCAATGGCACAAAATAAAGATTGTTATGCAATTCCATTCAAAAAACAAAAGAAATCGTAGGCGGGGCCAAAAAAAAAGTGGATCCAGGCGTTGGTGCAAGACGAACGATATAACAGTCACGCAAATATGATATCTGCATTCAATAGAGAAAAATAAGTGCAACACTGACATTACCAGTGAAATTGCTGTGTAAAATTTCACAACAGCGTTGCACCTGCTCTATGCATGGAGAAAAAGAGCAAAGAACACCATCATGTTTTAACATTTTTGCTGCAGAGGGCAACGCTAACCATGGTTGTGGAAGGTCAAGGAACACAGAGTCTGCAACTCTGCAAAACTCATCAGGGAAGCCTTCTCCCTGGATATCCCTAACAGAAACAGTAATAAGACTTCCCAGCCCATTCGTATTGAAATCTTCCCTGTCATGGATGACGTATGATATTACAACAGTGAAAAGGAAATGATATATCTACAGAAAGCTGAATAAACATAAATTAATAAAGGAGGAGAATCAATTCCACAATTTAGAAATTAAATCTATAAAATCTAAAAAGAAAATGTAAGAGTGCTATGAAAATCACTAGAATGAACAAGAAATGATTTTGTGATAAACAAATACAAGAGAGCGTGAACAACAGATGAAACCTTAAGGTACATTTGTGAGAGAATATCTGTTAAAAATAAGAGAAAAAATATTGGATGGCAATTTGTTTATGTCTGTGTTCAAAAACATTTGATTTTGGTTTAACATTGTCGATGGAAGTATTACTTGCATTTAGGAATGTGCATGAAACTATTTTCACAGCTGTTACAGACTGGTATCTCTTCAGTGTTTGAAACATCTAACGTTTTGAACCTTTGCCCGTCTCTATTGAAGACTAAAAATAATTCTTAAGGAGTTAGTTATTACAAAATCCAGTTCATAGTCCTCCCAATCTTATATTACTTCAAAGCTGGAATATTTATGATCATCAAATTAAAATCAAAGTTTAATTTTAACGGAGGGATCAGCTGCATACCTAGCCAACGCTGCTCTTGGCTCATGAAAATCAAATGTATAGACATGGCCAGAGGGTGCAACAGCTCTAGCAAGTGAAGTAGTTAGAGAACCACTACCAGTCCCTGACTCTAAAACCACGCAGCCCGGAACAATTTCCAGGTAGGATATCACAAAACTGATATCAGCAAGGTATAAAATCTGAGTCCTGTGGCTGAGAACCAGAGTCCACAACTCAGGTGTTGGAAATAAGAGATGAACAAAACCACCCTTGTTGCTGAATACCTTGGAACCAAAAGGTTTCCCTATCCAGTCAGAATGCTTAAAAAGTCCATATCTATTCTGGAATTCGGAACCCTGCTTTACTTTGATAGCTTTCATGTTATCATGTCTCTCATACAAAATCAGTAGATCACCATCACAGATGCGGCGTTGAAATGTATTCCTTTTTGATGGATCTGAAGAAAACATCCTCGCAAAATCACTTGAAATTTATCGCCACAATGCAATATGTTCCTATATTCCAAACAATAATCTTTTTGAGACCAATTACAAGAATGAAACAAGGTAAAGTTTCGCAGAAAACATAGGATTTTTTGAACTAAGTAGCAAGAGAACAATACCATACCATAAAAACCATTTTTTTTCTTCCAAAAGTGAATCATTGACTCTTAACAGTAGTATATCGATGTGAAGGGGACGGGATACACGACCGAGAAACATAAATTGGATTATGGTTGATTAATGAGGAAAAAAAGTATAGTTTCGAGGGTCAGTGATGACAGATTATATTCCGGAGAGGTCTCGGGGTTTAGGGTTTGGTTGGTCCACTGGCGGATGATCCACAGGGATGTCGTCACACTTAGGTAATTAAGGTCAACCGTATATGCGATTCAATGCACGGTTTTCTTTTTTCTTTTTTTTTCTTTTTTTTTCTTTTTTTTTTTTTTTTTTTTTTTTTGGCGATGGGGGTGCGGGGCAGCACATGCTTATTGCATACATGTACCCATGAAACATGTATAATTGTTGAGCATTGCATACCTAAATTAGTGAAAACACGTATAAAGTGTTAACTATGCAATTTATCTCGCTTCATTATGAGAGTAAGATGATTTTCAAAGAATTTAATGCATTTTATGATTATTTCTACTTGTATGTGTTCTCCAACTAATTTATTAATTAGGTAGTTTGGAAACATTATTATTGTAAATAATGTTTATAAGAAAATTATTCTTGGACATGTAACATTTTAAAAAAAGTATTAGTTACTTTAATGTTATTGGTTTTAGAACTATTTGAAAATCTTATGTTCGTTTAAAATTACTCATATATATATATATATATATATATATATATATATATAGTTTCCTCTATTGGGATTGATTCGCATTTCTAGAGTTACTTCCTATACAAAGTAGTTCTCATTTCTAGTGTTTTCTAATACATTTTTTTCTTTCGACCTCTAGCTACTTTCTTTGAGGTATTCAATCATCTAATATTTTTTTTCATCAGTTTATCTCCTTAGAACTTCCACTACATTGCATTCTACCTTTCACAATAATTAAAATTTAACAAAATTGTCACTATCTTCTATTTTTATTGCTCCACTCTTTACTAAATGGTAACAAAGCAAAAGACAACCATTATCATAGCATTACATCCAACTTATTATGGATCATGCCTTCAACTATAAACAAAACACCTCCTTTTATAGCCTCTAAGCATTTGTCCTTATCTTTTTAAGCCACAAACGCAAACATTTATATCGCACTCCATTGCTTTACTTGTATGCTTCACAAATGGATCACTCAACCCACTTATTTGCATACACAATGCCTACATGCTCATGTAAATGCACACTTGCTGGCCTGGTAGCTATGCCTTGTTTGCATACTTGCTTTTTATGCACTTGCATGCATCTATCGCCTTTGCTTCATATATATCTCCACAACTTTCCCATCCTTTAATCCTAATCAATCATCACTCATATTAACATCAACTATGATCATGTATCCTTCAAATCCTTCGACATTGTTTTGACCAACCTCCATCATTATAATTCACTTCAACTAATCTATCATACTCCATAGAATCTCATGCCATCAACTCAATTTATATGCAACTTTAGGCACATCCATAACTACTTATAGAAGTCCTTACATCATGCATTGCCCGCATTTGAATATTTTGCATGTCATTGCTCTCTCGCACCACTTTAGCGCTCAACTATAGCCACTGGTCGTTTCATATGCTCAATCACTCTCATGCAATCCACCACATCACACATCAGTATCTTAGACCTTATCACTCATAAGGAACATTTCATAGATTAATTCACATAACTTGAATCCAAATATAAATAACAACCAACAAACATATAAATAATTTAACTTAACCAAACCATAAAAAGTAATGAAACCCAATCATGAATCCATGTTAAACAATCAATCGATGAATACTTTATCATATCGTTCTATTAATGTAAATAAAACCTTCAAATTTTCAAACATGTCGATTCAAGTTGTGAAAGCATTGTTACCATTTAGTAAATCAGCGCATGTGATGTGCAATTTGATTTTCTAGAGCTTTACATGATCATACATAAAATTTAAATCCAATTTGGTATGTTTCATTCACTTTTTTTTAAAACCATTAATACCAATAATTGGAAACAAAGTTTGATTATTTCAAGGAAGATGCATGGGTTGGATATAATCTACTTTAGCATATATTAAAAAAAACTTCATCTGAAGATATATCCTAGCTATATCATGCATAAATTCATGTTATGTGTCGATTGAAGCATGTGAAATTCACTTTTCATAAAACTAAAAAAGTTTCAAATATGATAAATAAATAGTAACATATTATTGGGTTGTCAAGCATCCACTATAATCTAATCATTAAAGCTAGTAAACTGTAAGATAGCTATCATGTTGCACCAGTCATAATCTTCACTCTCTCTTATGATTCTCTCTGCTCTGTACATACACACTCACCAGTTCTCTATCATCAATAGCCTTGGCAAGCTTGGTGTAACTTCTGTTACGTCATAATACTAATGAATTTTTTGTCCATGCCCAAACTAGGGATGACACCACTAGAGCATCACTTGGAACCATTTATTGCCCACTCTTATTATCTTTAGATTTAAACCTAAAACCTAAGCATCACTAAGTCCAAAATCAAATTCTAAAACCTAATCTACTCCAAAATATAATAAAACCTAAGCATAATTCACTAAATTCAAAATTAAAACCAACTAAGCTTAAAATTAAACCAAACTACAGTCTGCTCAAAACAAAATAAATCTAAACCTACAACATAAGTCTAAACTACAAATCCCCCTTAAATCAAATTAATATCAATCAAATCAAAGCCTACATTTTAACTAAATTTAAACCTAAAATTAAACATCTTAACAACCTAAGTCTAAAAATAAGGAGAATCAAAATCTATGTTTAATTCAAGGTCACCATAGCTTAATCCAAGCAATTAAACTTAAAGCAACACTCAATCCAATTTAAATCAAGTTTAACTCACAACCAAAACCTAACCAAACTTCATCATCACTCAAATGTATACTTAAATAAATATATAATTAAACTCAATCATAAATCAAAGCCTATATTAAAACCTAATATGAACTAAGGCTAAACTACACCTTAATTAAATCAAACCTAAATTATATCCGTAAAAGGGTTAGTGATCTAGCTATGAGAGTAATGTTTTAGGCTTAACTTATATTAAGAAAGGCAGAGGTAGAACTAACAGGACTTGGTCATATTAACCTAAATAAGTAGAAGACATTTATATACATGGCACACAATTCTTATATCTTTACACATCTCATGCCTGAACAAGCAACTTGAAGAGGAAGAATGGTGCAAGCAAGCTTACCTTCCTCACTGATACAGGTAGGAAAGGAGCGAAAGGATGAGAAAGATGAGACTTTCGGTGGTCTCTGTAAGCCGCGATCCCGTCATGGTCTTCCCAGCTAGCTCGAATCGCCACTGTATCACAAAGACAAGGAGAATGGCGCGAACAAGCATGCCTTACTCAAAGGTTACGGGTAAGAGCGGAGCGGAAGGATGAGAGTTTTGGTGGTCTCTAAAAGCCGCGACCTTGTTATTGTCCTACCAGCTAGCTCTGATGGTTACTGTATCGCGAAGGTTTTGCCCGGTAGAGGAGTGAGGTGTCGGGATTTAGGGCGAAACAGGGGGAGGGTTGAGGCGCGAAATAAAAGTGAAGGCGAGGGTTTTGGGCATCTTATATATCTAACAAGGATTATATGTAATAAGGATAAATCGTAGCTACATTGTAACATCAGAATTAGGGCAATAAAAAGGAGCTCTTTATTTGTGAATAATTCGTGTTTGATTTGTCAATGAATTCGTGTTGGATTTATTTGATAAGTAAATAAAAAGAATGTGACTAAATTTTTTTCGTTCGATTAGTTAAATGAATAAAACACAAACAATAATGCGTTCATTCTTGTTGGAATCGTTATTGTTCGAAATATAAAATAATTTTAAATAATTATATATAATAAAGTATTATGTTTTAAAAAATTAAATTTTATAAATTATAATATATAATAAATTAATAATAACAATATATTAATATACTATATTAATAATATACTAATATAGATATTATATATTTATATAATATAAGTTATATAATTAACTCAAACAGCTCGTGTTCGGCGCGTTCGTTAAGAAATGAACACGAACAGTGACTTCACGAACAATTTCGAACGCGAGTTTATTTTAAACAAACTAAATTTCAAACAAACCGAACGCGAACACAAGCTCCGTTCGGTCGTGTTCGGTTCGTTTACACCCCTAATCAGAACCTTCATTATCTTTCAAACCGTTGTTATCAGTTAGCAATTCTCAAAGCCACTCCAGTAATTCCTAATACTTTAAGTTTTTTTTTTTTATTATTATTATTTATAAAAATAACTCATATTGGACAACATGGGTAAGTCTAAATAATTCTTAAGAATAATTTTATTTGTGCAAAAGTGAAGGGTTTAGTAGTAATGTCATCGGAAATTCAACGTCTTAATTATCTAAGCAATGAAAAATTTATATGACAATGACGACGGACTTAAAGTGAGCTATAGTGATTATGCCCATACAGCTGACACTGAAGGCTGGTGTCGAGATGAAACTAGCCATCACCAATCTCTACAACTTGAAAGAGGATTTCTCATGAGGTGGAGACAAAGCTCTTGGCCTAAGAAATTATAATTTTGCCCCTGCTATGGAGGTTTTTCCATAAAATAACAAAATCTTCCTTTGATTTTCATGTTTTCAAGAACAAACCTAGCTCTAGGGGCCACTTTCACTCCTTGACATTAGAAATTCGATCCTCTGATTTTTTTTTATCAAAATGATCAATATTTTTTTTTGTCTAATCACTCAAATCAGATAAATTTGAATGAAATGCATTTATTTCTTCTCTAGAGGAAGAAAAAGATGTGTGAGAAATATGTGGTGCAATTTCATGTGTTTTCTTGGTTATTTGTATCCTTTTTATGCTTTTACGGAGTAATTTTGCATGTTTTGAACTAATGTTAAAGTAACAAGTTCCCTATTAGATCGATAAATATATATTACTCGAGCGACATATATTCTTGTGTCATTGATGCATGCTTCGCTGCACCATGACATCAATTTTTTTACGTGATATTAAATTTCCAGTTTAGAAAGATTTTTGTTAAACCTTTGAAATATAGATTTGAAGCTTATAGTATCTTTCTTTTTGCTATTTTGATATTTAATATGTTATAAAAATTCAAAATAAAAATTGTGTTTTGTGATTTATTATGTTTGCTTTCTACACATATACTTGTTTTATTAAGTTTTTCATAAATTATATTTTATTATTTGTGTTATATGTTAGTTTAGGGTCATTGGTTATCTTTAAATTATATGTGTAGAACTAAACCGAATGAATTAGTGTCATACAACCCTGAAATAGAGAAAATAGTCAACAAAATAAAAAAACTGAAAAAAAAATTAGAAATAATGGCCACAAGTCTCGGGAAGAAAATATTTAACCTAGACTACATAAGAAGTATGTCAATCCTTCGGTAAAGGGGATTCACTTGAGTATTAATAACCTCAACATAGAAGTCAATTTCTTTGTACTAAAGCATGTCATAATATAAATAATACATAACAACAGCTTAGAGAATCGCTCACTGAAGATCCTAATGTGTACTTAACCAAAATTTTAGAAATGTGTGTAACTTTTAGGTATAACAGTGTCTGTAATAATGTCATTAAACTTCGGTTATTTCCTTTTTCACTAAGACATATGACTAAAATGTGATCAATTTTTTTAGCACCAAGGTCTATCACCACTTAAGCTAACCTAGCTCAAAAGTTCCTAGCAAAGTACTTCCCACCCTCAAAAATTGCAAACACTATGAATGATATCAAATCCTTCAACCAATTTGAGAGTGAATCAATCTATGAAGTTTGGGAAAGCTTTAAAAAGTTATTTTTGAAGTGCCTACAATATGCCCTTTCTAATTGGCTACTTATTCAGACTTTTTATAATAGGCTGGTGGGATTTTTAAGGTCAATCATAGATTATGCAATTGAGGGCCATTAATATCAAAACCTTTTGACGATGTGTATGCACTGATAGAAGGGGATAGCTACAAAAAATTTCTATTGGCCTTTTGAGAGATTAAACCCTAGGAAGGTAGTCAGTGTCCACGATACTATGTTTTATCTAATTGGACTTCATAGTTTATAGTTGTTTTAAGGAAGCTAAATACTTTAGGTTTTTTTCTAACACCAAGATAACTAGTAATAGAAGGGAATGTTTATGAATAGTTTGTGGATCCTCGTAGTACTTCTGTGGAGACCATGGATGCTATCAATAATATACCGAATAACCCCAATTCTTTTACATATAACTCATAATGGAGAAATAACCCAATTTTCAATTGGAATAATAACCAAAACATTGATTTAGGTAGAAACCAACCTCATTCTTTAGAAATTTGAAATAAACAGGGTAATAACAATTCGAGATAAACTTACTCCCCAGGATTCAACTGAATTCTAAATTTAAATAAAATAAATTATTTTTAGAATGAATTGTGTTATAAGTGAGGAACGAATTATAAAGTCAAGTTATAGCTATAAGGAATATTAAAAATTAATTAGAGTAAATTATTAATTATTTGAGTATTAGACCTCAAGGAACATTGCCTAATAACATTGAAGTGAATTCTAAGGAGAAAGAAGGGAAAGAGCAGGTGAAAGCCATTAGATTATGGAGTAGGAAGGAGTGGGAAGAAGTTGCTAGAAGGAGTCTAGTTCAGAAGAACCTAAACCTAAGCCTTGAAGGCATTTTACAAAGCTACTCTAAATTTAGACAAAATTGACTCACCGCCTATGTAGGAATAAGAGATATCATCATCACATTTTCCATAGAGACTTTAAAAACACAAGTTAAATCAAGAGTTATTTAAATTTTTAGAGGTGTTGAAGAAGCTCACAACTAATATCCTTTTTGCTAGAGCTTTAGAACAAATGCTTAGTTATGTGAATTTCACGAAAGACAATGTGAATATGAAGAGAAACTTATGTGATTTTTAGACTGTTGCTCTGACAGAAGTATGTAGTGGGTCCTTAAAAAAAACCTTCACAAAATACTTAGAATCTCGGTAGTTTTACCATTTCCTGTGATATAAGAGAGAGATTCTTTGGGAAATATTTATGTAATATAGAGGCCAATATCAACATTATGACTTTGGTTATCTTTAAGAAACTATAATTAGGAGAAGTCCAGCCTACCAAAGTAATCTTGTAGTTAGCTGACAGCTTGCTTACCTATCAAAAAGGGTGATAGAGGATGCATTTATTAAGGTTGATAGATTTACCTTTCTTATTGTTTATAGTATCCTATATATGGAGGAATATAAGAAGATCCATATTACCTTCTGTAGGTTATCTGTAGTCATAGAAAGGGTAATAATTGATGTTTAGGGGGGGTGGGTGCTTATTATGACAGTTATTAATAAAAAAATCATTTTCAATATTTTAAAATTGATATTTTGTTCTAGAACTACTGTGAGGATGGATACCATAAGATAGAAGTGGTGGGCAGATTGATTATGAGCCAATTTAGAAAGACTATGGAGTTGGTCACAATAGAGCAAAGTTCGATTAAGGAAAACAGTGAAATCCCTGAGAAAGAATCTGTTTAATAAAAAAATCATTTTCAATATTTTAAATTTGATAATTTTTTTCTATAACTATTGTGAGGATGGCGACCATAAGATAGAAGTGGTGGACGTGTTGATTATGAGCCAATTTAGAAAGATTATGGAGCTGGTCTCAATAGAGCAAAGTTGGATTAAGGAAAATAGTGAAATCCTTGAGAAAGAATATGTTCTACCATTAAAGGCAATCTCGAGAGTGATTAGTGATAGGTTTGAAATTAGACAGGATGTCAAACGCCAAACCTTTTGTTCATTCAGTATTTGAAGCTATTGAAATACAACTTAAGGTTCATTCTAAGCAATTAAAGTATGTATTCTCAGAAGAATCTCCAACATTGCCTATCATAATTTCTATTAAATTGAGTGAGTTATAAGATGAAGTTGATGATAGTTCCTTAAACTTTTGGTAAAAGCTTTTGATAGAGTATCGTTGGTATTAAGAGAATAAGCCCTTCCTTATGCATACATAAAACAAGTACGGAGAAAGATCATTAACCAAAAGTTGATACCTAGAGGAGGTTAAACCCTGTGATGAATAAGGTAGTTAATAAAGAGATTTTAAAGTGGTTGGAAGTAAGAATTGTCTATACTAGAAAGTGCAAAACCCAATTTATTTTCTACCCTAAATTGGGAGAGTGATGGTAGTGAAGAATGAAGAGAACAAACTTATACCCATTAGGAGAGTTATTTGATGGAGAAACTATATAGATTATAGGAAATTGAACAAAGTAACTAAAAAAGACTGTTTTTCACTTCCTTTTCTTAACATATGCTTGAGAAAGTGACATAACATCCTTATTTTTTGCTTCTATTGTGATAATTCAGGATATCACCAAATCATATAGCTTCTAAAGATTAGGAAAATACCACTTTAACCAGTCCTTATGAAATATTTACCTTTAGGAGGATGTCATTCAAACTTTGTATGCCCCTCTCACTTTTAAGAGTTGTATGATGACTATCTATTCTAATTTGATATAGAAAGGGATTTGGATTTTTATGGATTAC